GCCGCAGGCCATCACCGACGATCTGACGCGCCACGGGCTCGCCGTGCACGAGCTCGAGCCGCCCTCCCAGGATCGCGACTTTCTGGGGCTATCGCTGCGCGAGGGGCGCTGGCTCAGCCTCAGGACGCGCAATATCTGGCGGCTGCGCGCGGCCATCCGCGCCACGCTTCGGAGGCAGGTCATCAGCGGCTTCTTGCTGCGCGTTCTGACCGGCCACATCACCTGGGCGCTGCTGCTGCGAAGGGAGTTGCTGTGCATCCTCGGGGTCACCTACGCCTACGTCGAGACCACTGGGCCAGTCGCGTCACCGCTGTGGCCCGCTGTCCGCCATGAGCTCCAGCTAGTCCACGACCTGCTGCCGCTCTGCACTGCTGACCTTGGTGCCCCGTGGCACGGGCGAGTTGCTTGCGCGGACGCCTCGCCATTTGGGCTGGGCGTCGTCGCTCGTCGCGCCCCAAAGGACTGCGTGGGCACCATTGGTAGAGTTGCTGAAAGATGGAGGTACAAGGTCGAGGGAGGTGCGCAGGCAAGGCGTAGGACGATCGGGATCAACGGTGATAACTCGTCCGAGCAGTTCGGGGGCCTCGAGGGCGACTTCGGGGTGAGTACTCAGCTCGTCGGGGATGTCATCACCGAGGGCCTGCCGTTCGAGGGCGTCTTGGGAGAGGCCTCTGAGGGCCCGGTCGGGCTGCCGCTACCGAGGGCTCCTGGGGGCACCGACAAGTCGATCATGGACATGAGGCCCGTGGTGGACTTCGACGAGGCCCCGTCCCACTTCATCCGTGGGCCCGTTTGGGGCTCCGTCGCCGCCGTGTACATCAAGGGGGGGCCAACATCCTGGCCCTGGAGGGGGAAGCGCTCGTTCTTGGGTATCGGCACCTCCTGAGGTCCACATCCGCATTCGGGTCTCGGCTCCTCATCCTCTCCGACAACCTGCCACTCGTCTTGCCCGTCGGTAAGGGCCGGGCCCGCAGTAAGCACCTCCAGAGCACGCTTCGCAAGATCTGCGCGCTCTCCGTTGCCACTGGCTCAACCCTGGCAGTGAGATGGATACCCTCGGAGGCCAATCCCTCCGGCACGCTCAGCCGCGGGCGCGCTGGCTGGTTCTCTGGCAGTCGGCCTGCGCCGCAGCCCCCTGGTAGCGGGCTGCTCGCCCATGCGGCGGCTTGTGCTGGTGCTGGCACTGGCCCAGGCTGCGGCGGCGGCTCGCCGCTCGGCCGTCCCGGCGCCCTCGGCGCTTCGGGCCGAGCGTGCGAGCCATGCGCAGGCGCTAGCGGCGGAGACGGCCGCGGTGGCGGGGCTGTCGCTGCTCGAGCGGCTGGCGGTGAGGAGCTCGACGGCGCGCCTCTACCGGGGGGCTCTCGCCAGCTTCGTCGGTTTCTGTGTCGAGCGCCGCCTGGACTGGGCGACCCACTCGGGCCTGGACGACACGCTGGTGATGTACATGGACAACGAGTTCCTCCTCGGCGGCGGCGGCAACCAAGGGGGCGTCCTCTTGGCGGCGGTGGCGCACTTCCTCGGCTCGTTCCACAAGCGGACCTCGCTGCTGCTGCCGAAAGCTCACCGCGCGGCTGCAGCGTGGGCGCGGCGCGCACCTGGGCGCACCCGGCTGCCGCTGCCGCGTCGCGTGGTGTTCGCCTTGGCTGGCCTCCTGGTCCACGACGGGTTTCCACGGCTGGCCATCTGCATCCTCGTCATGTTCGCCTCGTACCTCAGGCCTGGCGAGGCAGCGAAGCTGCGCGGGCGGCATCTGATATCGCCGTCGGAGGCGGCGGGCGCCGGCTACCAGTTCTTCGGGCTGCTCCTGCACGAAGGCGGGCAGGAGCCAGGCAAGACGGGCGTGAACGACGAGAGCATCCTCTTCGATCGCGAGGCTTGGCTCAACCCGCTGCTGCACGTTCTGAAGCAGTCCACGGCGCCGTCGGAGCCGCTGTGGGGCCAGGAGGTGGACCGACTGAGCGTGCTGTTCGCTCAGGCCTGCCGTCGGCTGTCGCTGGGTCGGCTTCGCCCGCACCTGTACAGCTTGCGCCGCCGGGGAGCCTCGGACGACATGCTCTCCCAGAGGCGCCAGCTGGGCGAGATCCAGCGGCGCGGCCGCTGGCGGACAGCCAAGAGCCTGAACCGCTACACAATAGGAGACCAAGCTCTTGGACGAGCTCGCCTGGATCCCGCCCGAGGTGATGGAGCTCGGGGCCTTCGTCGAGAGCAACCTGGAGGCGCTGGTCGGCGGCTGCCTGCCCAACTGGCTAGCGACTGGCCGCGTCCCGGCCGCCGCCGCGTCGCTCTTCCGCCCGCTGCCTCAGGGAAGGCAGCCGGCCGCCAGAGGCCGCCCACGCAGGCGGCCCGCGGCCCTGGCGGCGACGGCGGCTGCCCGCCTGCGGACGCGGCGAAGCGGCACCTGCAGCGGCAGCATCGCCGCGCGGCCGCGCCAGGCCGGGCCCTCAGGCGCCGCCCCGTGCTGGAGCTCCTCTGCGGTGCCGGCAGGATCGCCGAGGCGCTGCTCGCCCGCGGCGTCGCCGCGTTTGGGCTCGACTGGCAGCGCAGTCCACTGGAGGATCACGTACTGCCTGCCTTCATCGCCACCGTCGTCGGCTGGATCCGGTCGCGTGCGGTGGGCGCCGTCTGGCTGGGCACACCATGCACCAGCTGGACGCGAGCGTTGCGGCGCCCGCTCAGGTCGGATCGCTACCCGTTCGGGCGGCCCGACCTCTCATCGTCTGAGCAGGCTCGCGCCGCCGCAGGCAATGCCACGCTGCGCATGACAGTGATCATAATTCGTGAGTGCATCTCTGCCCGTGTGCCCGTCTTTCTCGAGAATCCACAGACTTCGCAGATCTGGTCGTGCCCTCCCCTCGCTCGTTTGTGTCGCCAGCCGTCCTGCCAAAAGTCAGTTCTGCATCAGTGTCAGTACGGCGCCGACTTTAAGAAGGCTACGACCATCATGTCTTGGGGTGCGGGCGCCATGCACCCTTTTACAACTTATCTGCTCTGGAAAAAAGAGGCATTTGCAGTCGCTCAGGCAATCGCCATGTGATCTTGGAGGGCAACGACGAGCAAGGGCGAAAGCGCACTGCTGTCGCCGCTGTGTATCCTCGTCTCCTCGCCCACGCTGCCTCGCGCTGTATCGTCGAAGCGTTGCGCATTCAGCCTGGCCTCGCCCTCCAGTTTTTTGCCATGAGATAGCCCACTTTGCCTGCATTCCGAGAATAGTTTCTTCCCTATATATACGGCCTGCGGCCAGTTGAACCTTCGGGATCGGGTGAGGGTCGCACAGGTGGTCCTCTCGAGCGCGGTCGCGCTCCTCGTTCGCTTTGTCTCTGCTGCTCTCGCGCTTCTAGCTCAGTCAACGCCTGGCCCTGTGCTGTCCCAGATGGAAAAGGTGCCTGGCCCGGGAGCCGAAGCGAGCTGGTAGTTTTCACAACTGAGGGCTGAGCAGAGGCAACAGGTCGGACGTACTCATGTCTGGCTCGAAGATTGTCCCGTGGCCATCCCGAATCGCCTTCTCACCACTACTTTTCGGGTGAGGGTCGCACAGGTGGTCCTCTCGAGCGCGGTCGCGCTCCTCGTCCGCTTTGTCTCTGCTGCTCTCGCGCTTCTAGCTCAGTCAACGCCTGGCCCTGTGCTGTCCCAGATGGAAAAGGTGCCTGGCCCGGGAGCCGAGCCGCGACTATATATATATATATATATATATAATACCTATACGACCACCCTGCGGGTGATAAGGAGGTTGGGGGGGGAGGGGCCCAGCAATGGGCAACAGTGGTGAATGTTGTTGTGACAATGCCAGTGGAGATAGTTGCGTTGCCGCTCGCTCTTGGGAGCGAGCGGCAACGCAACTATCATCATCACCATCATCATCAGAATCATCATCATCATTATCATTATCACCATCATCATCATCACCATCATCATCAGAATCATCATCATAATCATCATCAACATCATCATCGGGACACCGACGGGACACGGACGGGACGCCGGCGGAACACCGGCGGGACACCGCGCCGCCCCGGCCGCCCGGAAGGGAATCATTTCGTCCGGCCGCGCCTCAGCCACACGGGACACCAGCGGGACACCGGCGGGACACCGCGGGCCACCGGCCGCCCGGAAGGGATCATTTGGTCCGGCCGCGCCTCAGCCACAGGGACACCAGCGGAGACACCACGCGACCTATACGACCACCCTGCGGGTGATAAGGAGGTTGGGGGGGAGAGGGGCCCAGCAATGGGCAACAGTGGTGAATGTTGTTGTGACAATGCCAGTGGAGATAGTTGCGTTGCCGCTCGCTCTTGGGAGCGAGCGGCAACGCAACATCATCATCATCACCATCATCATCATCATCACCATCATCATCATCATTATCACATCATTCATCCATCATCATCATCATCATAATCATCATCAACATCATCATCGGGACACCGACGGGACACGGACGGGACACGGCGGAACACCGGCGGGACACCGCGCCGCCCCGGCCGCCCTGAAGGGAATCATTTCGTCCGGCCGCGCCTCAGCCACACGGGACACCAGCGGGACACCGGCGGGACACCGCGGGCCACCGGCCGCCCGGAAGGGAATCATTTCGTCCGGCCGCGCCTCAGCCACACGGGACACCAGCGGGACACCGGCGGGACACCGCGGGCCACCGGCCGCCCGGAAGGGAGTCATTTGGTCCGGCCGCGCCTCAGCCACAGGAGACTTTCTCTCGCCCGCCCACGCAGCTTCGCCTCGCCCGCACGGCACGCACGAACACGAAACCGAAATCGATTTCCCGGTAGGGGGGCTCTCCGTTCCACTTCGATCTCACCCCCCAACCTCCGATATATATATACACACACACCCCTCTCTCTCTTTCTTTCTCTCTCTCTCTCTTTTGTGTTCTCCTTCTATCTCTCTGCTCCTCTTTGATTTATCGTTGTGTCCATTTCCCTCCCTGTCTGATTGGGTCTTCATAAATCAGAGTGGATCGGGGCTGGGGCCCACCCGCTTTTAGCCAGGACGTGGCGGCCCTGGTGAGAATGTCGCTCAAGATGCCCGCGACTCAGCCGATACTGGACCCCACCGCCAGGGCTCGAGGATCGACGATCGAGGAAGATCGCGGGCTGAGGAGAAGGAGCAGGAGCGAGTAGGACCGAGGATCGAGGATGGTCGAGGATCGATGAGGGTCGATGGTCGAGGAGAAGGGGCAGGGTCGAGGAAGACCGAGGATCGAGGAGGATGGAGGACCGAGGATGCTTGAGAGTCGAGGACGAGGATCAGGATCGAGGAGGATCGAGGATAGATGATGATCGATGATCGAGGGGGGTCGAGGAGAAGGACTGGGATCGAGGAGCGTCGAGGAGGGTCGATGACCGAGGAACATCGGGGATCGACATCGGCAACGTGACGGGGCGAGAGCCTTCGCTGGAATGACATACCGCGAGCCCACCAGGGATTCCTTGAAGCCCGACTTTGTGGAGGAGGATGAGGAGGCGGAGGAGGAGAGGCTTACGACTTTTGCCGTAGACACCTATCTCTCTGAGTTTTTTCTTCGGGGCGGATCGGTCTCAGACGGCCCCAGGGCTCAAGACAGGGCGGAAAGGGCTTGTGTGACAAAAAACGCAAGGCCCGCACTCCAGAGTCGCCCTCTGCAGTTGGCCTTCTGGTGCAAGCCCACCAGGGGGTCCCTTTCAGCACTGGCGTGCGCGCTTGGATAGGCCACCCCCGCGGCTTCCTGAAGCCATGTCTTCGGATGCATCTCTTGGGACGGCACATGTCATGGCGCCAATTTCGCAGAGCGGATTGTACGAAAAACCATGGGATGGGCCTGGATTGTCCAGGAGAATTTCGTGTTGGATTTCGATGTGAATTTCGCGCGGGCTTTTCGGGACAGGAATGAAGACCACCAACAAAAATACGTGAAATTCATTTCGTTGTTCGCTCGCCGCTTCGGAGCTCTGTATTGACAGAAATCCACAAACAAATCTGCTGCAGCACGTCTGCAAGGCCGTTCAATGCCGCTTTATCCCGCTTAATCCGATGTAATCCCGCTTCATCCGCGCCCCAGTCCGGCGCAACAGTCCCCCAATGGCGCCTAATCCTCATTCCTTCCGGTGAAGACCTTCCAGCAGTTGCTTTTGAAAAAAGGTCAGCCTCGAATCCGCGAAGAGGTTTTGATTTTTTCCCAGTCGCGGCCCCCGCGGTCCCGATCCTTTCCCCGGGACCGGCTTCTCATCCTGAGTCGATCCTTGACCGTCCCGGGGGCCCGGCGAGGGCCCCCCGAGAAGGCCGAAAGTGGCACCCACCCACCCCGTCGTGACCTTTTCCCAACCATCCTGTGGTTTTGGGTCTTCGTTTTGAAGAGACCGTCCCCGCGTTCCTCCTATCTCCTCCTCCTCCCCCCCTCCTTGCTCCCGTTACCCCCCTACCCTCAACCGAAGGCCCCAGTGGGGGTGCCCGCATGCGTCCCCTGCACCCAGCACAGCGCTTCGTGGCCCCATAGGGAGCTCCACCGAAGGTCCCAGTGGGGGGGCCCGCATGCGTCCGCCCCACCCAACCCAGTACAGCGATTCGTGACACCATTGGGAGCTCCACCGACGGCCCCAGTGGGGGTGCCTGGATGCGTCACCCCCGCCCAGTACAGCGCTTCGTGGCCCCAAGAGGAGCTCCTCCGAAGGCCCCAGTGGGTGGGTGTGCCCGCATGCGTCCCCCCCACCCAGCACAGCGCACCGTGGCCACATAGAGAGCTCCACCGAAGGCCCCAGTGGCACCTCCCGCATGCGTCCCCCCACCTAGTACAGCGTTTCGTGGCCCATAGGGAGCTCCACCGAAGGCCCCAGTGGGGGGGCCTGCATGCGTCTCCCACACCCAGTACAGCGCTTCGTGGCCCCATAGGGAGCTCCACCGGCCCCAGTGGGGGTGCCCACATGCTTCCCCCCCACCCAGTACAGCGTTCCGTGACCCGATAGGGGCCCCATACAGCCCCCCACCCAGTACAGCCCCCACCCAGTACACCCAGTGAGGCCCCAGTCCGCCATACCCACTACAGCATTCCGTGGCTCCATGAGGAGTTCCACCGAAGGTCCCAGTGGGTGTGCCCGCATGCGTCCCCCCCACCCAAGTCGGCGTTTCGTGGCCCCAGAGGGAGCTCCACCGAAGGCCCCAGTGGCACCGCCCGCATGCGTCTCCCCCACCCAGTACAGCGTTTCGTGGCCTCATACTGAGCTCCACCGAAGGTCTCAATGGCACCGCCCGCATGCGTCTCCCCCACCGAGTACAGCGTTTCGTGGCCCCACAGGGAGCCCCACCGAAGGTCCCGGTGGCGCAGTCCGCACGCTTGCCCCCGCCCAGTACAGCGTTTCATGGACCTACAAGGGGGCTCCACCGAAGACGATTCTTACAATTGCGGTATTCACAACTGCCTCCTCACTCCTCTTCTTTCCCCTCCACTTTTCCCCCCCCCGTCCTCCCATCCCTGCCTCTCCCCTCCACCCAGCACAGCGCTTCGCGGCCCCGAAGGGAGCTCCACCTAAGGCCCCAGTGGGGGTGCCCGCATGCGTCCGCCCCATCCAGCACAGCGCTTCGTGACCTCATAAGAAGCTCCACCGAAGGCCCCAGTGGCGGTGTCTTCATGCGTCCCCCCACCTAGCACAGCGTTTCGTGGCCCTATAGTCGGGACCTTCACAGAAGGCCCAGTGGCGGTTTCCACATGAATCCCCCCAACCCAGCACAGCGCTTCGTGGCCCCATAGGGAGCTCCACCTAAGGCCCCAATGGGGGTGCCCGCATGCGTCCGCCCTATCCAGCACAGCGCTTCGTGACCTCATAGGGAGCTTCACCTGAGTCCCGAGTGGCGGTGTCCACATGCTCACCCCTGTCTTCATGCGTCCCCCCACCCAGCACAGCGCTTCGTGGCCCCATGCGGAGCTCCACCTAAGGTCCCAGCGGTGGTGTCCACATGCGCCTCCCTCACCAAGCACAGCGTTTCGTGGCCCCATAGGGAGCTCCACCGAAGGCCCCAGTTGCGGTGTCCATATGCATCACCCCCACCTAGCACAGCGTTTCGTGGCCCCATGGGGAGCTCCACCTAAGGCCCCAGTGCCAAAGTTCGCATGCATCTCCACCACCCAGTACAGCGTTTCGTGGCCCCATAAGGAGCTCCACCGAAGGCGATACCCACAACTGTCGTACTCACAACTGCGGCGTTGCAGAAAAATACGACATAACAAAACATCACGCCCGGAACCCCAGACCCCGTCTTTCTGCATTTTTCCAGCTGGATCGATCTCTGAGGATTCCGGGATCCGAAATGGAGCGAAAACGTCTGGGGCGAAAAAAATCCAACGCCAGGATCTCAGGTAGGGTCCTTCGCAAGCTTAATTTTACGATTCGATCATGTCTGGGTCCTCAGACCCCGACCCTCTCCTGCGGCCCTGGTGTTCCACCCTTGCTATCCGCTTCGGACGGCCCCCCCAAAGGGCTCGAAGAGCAGCCCCCGCTTGTGGCCGAAAGCGAGAAATAACCGCCGGGATTAACCGGCTCGTCGCGTCGCAGAGCTTTCTGTAGCAAGCAGCCAATCATGGGCGCCTGGTATACCCTTTGAATTCCGTCTTTAGCGTCGATTAACGTCTGGGAGTCGTGAGACTGCGCCGAATTTGCGTCTATTAGCGTCGATGTAGCGTTTAGCGCGGATTTAGCGTCGATTAGCGCCGACTCACAAGAGCCGACAAGATGGTATGGGAGGTTCCCATGAGTTGCCACCGAAAGAGCTGGGGAGCCACGCTCGAATGCGGGATCGAAGATGCAAGAAACGTGTAGTAGAATGTTGGTAGATCCACGGGGCATGAAACGTATTTTCGCGTAGGTTCGGCGGGAAAATCAATAGTGGGGTAAATCAATTCTGTAGTCGATCCCCTACTCGGCACGCCGCGTGCTCTCCTGGAGCGCGTTCTGACCAGAATCTGGAGGCCCAGAAATGATCGCGTCGCACAAAAAGTAATGACGGGATTGTTTTGGCCATTTTTGCCCTGTGGGGGCCCTCGCTGGGCCCCGGGACCGTCAAACAACGACTTCGGATGAGAAGCCGGTCCTGGGGGAAGGGTCGTGACAGTTGGGGGCCGCGAGTTGATCAAATCTTCGCTTGCCTGGGTCAGAAGCTTTGCTGCCCTGACACGCCCGCCTTGAAACGCAACAGCTACCATGTTGAAAACGTCCATGTCAACATGTTGCGTGTTGTCGCAGCGTATTGGCCCACGTTTTGGCGAATGTAGCGCGCGATACCTGCGCTCCCTGGGAGGAAAAAACGGGTCGCGCGGAAATGGTCGGGACTCCTGGAGACCGCGTATCGCGCAAATCAGGACGTCTCATGGCCTCTCTCCCATCACCCTATATTCCCGTCAACTCCTCCTCCTTCTTCTTCTACCACTCTTACGATCTTCAAATATTGCTCCGACTACCGCTACGACTACTACTACTACTACTACTACTATTACTACGACTACTACTACTACTACTACTGCGACTACTACTACTACTACTACGATCACTACGATCACTACAACTACGACTCGTACTAGTACTAGTACTACTACTACTACTACTACTACTACTATTACTACTATTACTACTACTACTACTACTACTACTACTACTACTAGTACTAGTACTATTACTACTACTAATACTACTACTACTATTACTACTACTACTACTACTACTACTACGACTATTCTTACTACTACTACTACTACTACTACTGCTACTACTGCTACTACTATTACTACTACTACTACTACTACTACTACTACTACTACTACTATTACTACTACTACTACTACTACTACGGCTACGGCTACTACTACTACTACTACTACTACTACTGCTACTACTGCTACTACTATTACTACTACTACTACTACTACTACAACTACTACTACTACTACTACTACTACTACTACTACTACTACTACTACGGTCACTACTGCTACTACTACTGTTGCTGTGATTGTGCTTGTTTTTTCGACTATTACTACCACCACCACCACCACTACTACTA